AGTTTGAATGTTAATACCTGATCATGATGATTCTATTCATGAAATAGAGGAAATCTCACAGATCCAATAGCAAGGTTAATGACTGCTTATATGCATTGTATCCAGTATTAACATATTGTGAAATATGGGTATTAATTTGGATTGGACATTAATTTGGGTCAATTTTTAACTACCTTTTTGATTTGTTAAATGTGAAAACAAGTTACTCTAAATAAACTAACACTGGAAGAAGTGAACATTTCTGGACATTTCAATACTATAGCTGCAGCAGATCCTGTGCACGTGCACACACACACACACACACACACACACACACACACACACACACACACACACACACTGTCCTTGGCGCTGAACACCATCTACTAACACTAACACTAACACTAACAGATAACATACCTGGGGTGTTCTGTTGTGTCAAACAAAGGGTCTAGTACAGTATTAAGACCAAAACTACTATACATGGAACTGATGGTGAGTTCAGCACCAAGGAGAGGTCCACAGTTATTATTAACAAATAGGGGGGGGGGTCAAAAAGTTTTGGTTATAAACACTTGATGTAGCAGAAGGTACCCTGATTGTTGGGTTTGGCACGGAAAACAATTTAAAATTTTGCTGCGGGAATAATTACTTTTGATTGGTGGCTGAATGTTGATGGTTAATTATGAAGAGCAATAATGATTAATCACGATCGCACCCCTATGTAATGTCACAAGTGGTACGGTCCGTTCGACCATGGTGCAGTGCAGCTCAGCTGTGTGACGGACGTTGTAGTCCGGCGTGTCGTGGGTGAATTCTCTCAAACTTTTGAGAAAAATTCTCTCAAATTTTCGACGTTTTGTCCGCAAATTATTCGTCTAAAGTGTACAGTATATCGTTTGAACGTTGCCAGGTCGGATTTATGCCGTTGTTTGGATGTTTGAAGGAGAAAATGCGTGTTTCCTGGCAGGGCGCAGTTTGGAGAAGAAACGAAAATGGCGACTGCCATGGCGGGAAAGACGGCGTGGTGCTGTCAGAGAAGACTGACGTTCTTGCGAGGTAAGATAACAAACTATCTCCTTGAATGTACATGTCTGTACTTCCAACAAACCTGTAGCAACAGACCACGTTCTAATTTGTTATGTTAACCTTTATATTCCGTAGAAATTTGCGTTTCGTTGAACGCTATTCTCGTACACGTGTTGTGTTAGGTCATGATATTTTTTAGTATTTTGTACTTGAGTATTTTGGATAGGGAGGTTGTTTTCTTGACTATCATGGTTTTTGGGAACACTGAATATGATTCTTGCGTATTGAGTGGCATTGAAAACAGCTAGGAGCAAATTTCGATGCCAAAAACGTTTTGTTTTGTTGGAAATTTCGCAGTTTGGTCAGTGAACACCTTTTGGAAATGTACCGCACGTGTGCATAATTAAAACCCACTCAAAATTCCCGCCAAAAACGTCGCTTTAAACAAGACTTCACGAGGCTACACTTATATCATTCTGTATCTGTATAGCCGGTCTAACCGCCTTTCGGCGTAACACACCAGCTTCTGTATCTGTATAGCCGGTATAACCGCCTTTCGGCGTAACACACCAGCTTCGTAGGCACGCGGCACGGCGGCAGCTGGCTACATTACATGTTACACCGATCGACTTGTTACACCTAACCCTTAAACATCTAACTCTAGAAATAATTTAAAGCTATAAAGTGACAATGCCCCTACTGTACTTGGTGACAGCGAGTTCCACTCTGTGATTCTAGGAAAGAATGAATTTTTGAACACCTCAGCCCTTGGTTGATAAATCTGCTACTTAAACTTTAAGTAGCAGAGTTATCAAGTTAAAGGCATGGCTATTTCTTGTTGGACATGCCCAACACGTGGGTGATATGTGTGATAATGTTACATTATGCACTTCTGAGCACCCAAAGTTAAACCTGTTCACAAGTGAAGATAAAAGTTAAACAATATTTGATTTTCTTCAATGAATCTCTTCAACGATATTTGATTTTGTTAGGACAGGTGTATCATTGCCTTTAGTAGTAAAATCATTCTTTATTCACAAATAAAAGAAAGGAACATTGATATCCCAGGTCACGTCGGCCATAACTGACCTAACATGCAGGGAGACATTAGACAAATAACATTATACAATACATCGGGACATACAATATTGCACAGTTTCCTTAAATATTGCACAGTTTCCATTAAAATTATCACATATACAAGAATGTTTTAGACTTTGGCTTGAAAGTTACCACTTCTATCTAGTGTGACTTAAATACGTCATAATTTCAGGGAGTAGGCCGGTATTAATTATAAGTACAATGTAGCTACAGCAAGGTATCTGAGTCCCAATTCGGCTCGTGACGTGCATTCCATATACAAATGTAGCATAGGACTATAAAATAGCAATACGGCTAATGTCTTTGAAGAAGTTCTTTGGTGGTTTTGACTTAACTATATGAAACAGTGTCCTAAGTCTGCTCTTGCTGTCGGGTGTGATGAGTCCCCTGGATCCGATCTCGAAGCAGGTAAGAGTTGTGGTGATGCCTGTTGTTCTCAGGTCTTCCGCTAGGGCTGCATAATTGTTGACCTTACGGTAGTGACTGGTTTTGATATTCTGTTCAAACGGCACGGTCAGTTCCTGAATATGGATTGTGTTTTATTCTGGAAGGTAAGTGACTAAGTCAGGTTTCTGTGTTGTAGGCAGTATGTGTACCGGTAGAGTACCTCCGTTGGTTGTGGTTAGGGTTAGGGTTAGGGATAGGATTAGGGTCAGGGTTAATTTAAGGCTATCCCTAACCCTAACCCTAACACTAACCCTAGCTAAAATTAAAATCGATCAATAACATGGAAACCATGGAATCATTGGCATCCCCTTCCGGTCAGAAGTTCAAAACTGCAAACCAAACGTCGATATCGTTTGTCGTTGCTGAGATCTCGACCCTAACCCTAATTTAAGGCTAACCCTAACCCTAACCCTAACCCTAACCCTAGACAAAATTAAAATCGATCAATAACATGGAAACCATGGTATCATTGGAATCGCCTTCCGGTCAGAAGTTCAAAAC